GGCTGACTGCGCCCCTGACCCATATCCCACGCGCGTGTTCCGTTGCTCTTTCACGACGGGTAACGTTCGCGATTTAGGTGCGACGATAAGGGAACGGATGTTCGATAGACGCATCTAGATCTGGCTCAGTTGAGTCACCAGTCGGGTCGCCTTCCTTTTGTCTTGTTACGCGCTTGCGAAAAATGATTATCCCTTGCGTCGATAGGCACAATTTCTCGTTCAATTTCAGTAGTTTTCTGACGAGAACATTCTAAACGAGAATGTTACAATTTTTTACCGGGAAGATTGAATATTTGAAGTGAGAAAATCGTTCCAACTTTGTCCTCTTATTGTACTGCAATTTGGTAGCTTCGCAAAAGCTCCGGCAAACCTAACTACACCGAGCATTATTCACGACCGGACGATCCACCGGTTAGACACACCCCCCGAAAATGACTTAACCCGAATTAATAAATCGCAACAGCGCGACAATGGGATCCGGTAGCGCGCGGCAGACGTCAAACACAGACTGTGCAAAAGAAAAGCTGGCCGGGTCCCCCACGAACTCCCCGCGAGAGCGCAAACAGCAGCGACGCGCGTCACTTTACGCGACGACTTTGTCTCGTTTCAGCCACCGCGGAATCACGAGCGAGTCGTCCTGTCGTTCAACCCTCCGTTCACCGGCTCGTCGACGCATTGTGTCAGCCCGTCGACACGGAAACAGCCCCGCGAAGCCGACACGAAACGGCGGAGGGCACCACGCTGCAGTCTATCGCGCAAAAGGGCACCGCGTACAACCACCCTTCTCTTCTTTTCCTTCCCCGAGTCATCGTGTTCACGCTCTGAAAGGACGACACCGTCTCTCTCTCTCTCTCTCTCTATTCATCCCTCTGTTCGTTCCGTCTCCGTTGCACCCCCGGGTGAAGGAAGTCCGCCACAGTAAGTACATAGTAGCAGCAACAGCAGCAACACGAAGAAAGAAGAGTATATCGCGAGGGATAGTGGGGCTAGCTAGCGCAGCGACGGTGGTGGGGGTAGATGTGCGAGGGTGGGGGTAGCTGGCAACGTGCGAGAGGGTGGGGGTAAGCACGAAGCCTCCGAGCGATCGGGCGAAAGCGACGAGCAACAGTGTGCCGCGCGTCGCCGACGAGCGAGTATTGTCGTTTCGAGTGTTCTTCCTCGGTGGTAAAGTAACGCGTGTTCCCTTGCACGAGTGTCGTATCCACGAAAAGTGATCGAACGGTGTGAAAGAGATCGGTTTCGAGGAAGCGTGCTCGGTCACGCGACTGCACTCCATCGAGCATCCACGAACCACATGTCCCGAGACGGAAGTGTCCTGGGAGGCAGCTGACACCGGTGGATGACGAGATCAGTGGCCACGGAAATAGTCGACTTCTGTGAGACAGTGGGGTTTCTCGGAGCGGTGTGATCGTCGAGGTGTCTTCGAGTGAATTCGAGGAGTAACAGTGCGTCGTTTCACCTGTGCACGGATTTTGTTCTCGACGTTATTTGCTGTGATCGTTAACGGCGCATGGCTCGGAACCGTTGCCGCGAGCTGTCGTCGTCTCACGCGTCGTGGAGATCTGTAGCGACGCTTGTGAGAAAGGACGAAGAGGAAGTAGTTGGTCTGCGAGTAGGAAGGTGGATATTAGTCGACAGGTGGTTCGGAGGAACACGCGTAAGGTGGCTGAGTGATTGGTGAGAGGCAAAGGAAATCGAGGAGCGAGGATTACAATTTTCTTCGCTGTGATATATAGAAGTGGTGTGCAGAGGAGGCTGGCAAGAGGAGGGTTGATTTTCGTAGGAAATGCGCTGCTAGCAAATCGGCAAGGTGTCGCCCGAATTTTTGAGGTAGGCAAACTGACGAACATTGTTCGGAATCATGTCTGTACCGTGAAATGGGTCGTATCGCGGAGGTTGAAAGCCTGTGAACGCAGCTTTTGCGAGGCGTGTGCAAATTACGAGCGGTTTCGCGTCGGCACGTGGACGCCGGATAGAGCGTCGAAGGTTGTTACAGTTCCGCGAGATTTTCCCTGGGAAAAAGGGGATTATCCGATATATACGACTCGCGTCGTAAAATTCTTACGATTCTGTGCTCGGGCTGAAGCGTGGACGGTGACCCGACGGATCGAAAAATAAGCTACCAGAATCTCGTCTCGCTCTCTTTCTCTCCGTTGAAATTCAGTATATTCCCATGGTTTGTTCGCTTGCTCGGGAACATTCTCCGGGACATTTTTCCGCGGTTAACGTAACGCGATAGTCGAGCCGGATCCAATTCAGACGTCGTTGGGAAACACAAGGGGTTCGAGAAAAATTGCGCGAGTGTGTCTCCTCTGACGGGATGGGGTGGCTCGGAGGAAGGCAGAACTTAATGCAGCGGGCAAACAAATAAAGCATCTCCGACGGGGATTGAAAAGAGTCGGCGTGCCGCGCTGAGATCGATACACGCTGCGAAACGTCGAGCGAGATTAACGCGCGCCGCCGCGGGAATACGCGTCGACGGCCACTCCGCTTCCTCTCTCTTCCTCGCCGCGTTTTTCAACCGCTTCGTCCTTTCTTTCGGGGGGCTGAATTAATCAACGACGCGTAGATACTCGCCTCTGGTTCGATTCAAAGGCTGGCGTGCTCGTTCACCTGTTGGTTAATTTCCACCGAATCACGCCCATGTTTACTCCCGATTTCCCGTCCTAATGGAGAATTTTCATCGCGGTGATTAAGCGAATTCCATTTGCTGGATTACACGCGATGCACGAGCCTACTTGTAGCCCGATATTTTTCATTCGAAAAAGGGGTGCAGAGAAAGAGAGAGAGAGAGGAACGTTTCCGTCGCGGTTCGATTTAAACGAGTTACGACGAACGACGTGTACCACTCGACGGAACGGAACCGAGATGAAATTAGAAATAATCTCGAGACTCCCACGGACTAGCGCGGGTACAGGCGAGCACGCCTGTCGCTGACAGTTATTAGGAACTTATGGGGCGAGAGTTCACGGTGAAAATTCGAGCCAGACCACCGAACGGAGGAGTTCGTTTTCTGCTCGGGACACGGCACGGTTTATTTTCACTGCACACCACACCCGTCCCTTTTCTTCCCCTCTCTTTTTCCTCCATTTTCATCGCTGCCGAGTGGCCAAGGTTGCGTTTGTCTTTTGTCATTCTCGAAACGATGACTCTGCCCTGCCGGCGATGAGTCGACGAGAGAAATTACGGCGAGGTGGTAAAATTAGAGAAACAGAAAAATATTTATACACCTTTGGCGAGGGTTTCGACCAGAGAATTGCGGATTTGTAGATCCTTTTGCGGTCCTATGACTTTGCGTTTCGTTTCAGACGGAGTGGACCGACGGAGGAATTTTTTAATACGTTCATTTAGTTTGTCTTTGTTGAGGGGCTGTATTAAATAAATAACTCGTGTGGAGCAAGGTAACTGCTTACCGTAAGAACTGCTTACGGAGCGTGGTGACAGTGTGCACTTTTATACCTGGGGTGTTCGCAGGCATCCCCAAAAACCATATTTATCGGACGTGTCATAAACCTACCAATATTCTAGGATGTCGATTTTTCCTGCAGTACTCATAAACCATTTTGCTTCAACAGTTTTTAACAATTATTCATTTTTGAGCGCAGAAAAATCGGGTTATGGAGTGTCAAAGGCAAAGGTTCGTCGCCACGTCACCCATATATGGGTGACGTTCTTCTTCGTCAAGTTAAATAGGATTTCACAAGTAATTTATAAAAATCCATATAACACAAGAATTTCATGGAATATCACACTATATTATACTATACATTAATTTATATTTCAAATAAAATACAACATTATACTACGTAGCATGGTATTCGTTAAAACAGTTGGAACACATTTCTGGCGATTTTGGACAGTTGGGACAATATGTTGGTCTTTTCCTGGCGTTCGAGAATTTGTCCCTCCTTCTGGTAACATAGAACGCAAATTCTAGCTAATCGCTTTGTTTACGTTGTTGCGCTCCGACTATCGGATTTTGGCCCCGCGAGAAACTCGACCGATTCACGCTGGGCGACGAACGTGTTAAAGGATACCTAGCTCGAACGAAATCCTTTATCCTTGTTAAAGTAGAAAATTTTCATTTAACCCCTTGGCAACTACGAACGAAATATCTGCCGTGTGTTTTTATCGGGTCACGAGATATCTCGTCCGCTAATCAAAGGTGAAAATCCCTCAACGTTCGGTCGAAGAAGATTCAGCGTGGAATACGAAGTTTAAATATTGACGAAAATCCGTGAAAATGACGAAAACTGTCCCGATAGAATAAAGGTGTCCAAACGCACGACGGTTGAAGAGAAAGAATGACACTCCGTGTACACTGTGTTCGTTTCATTCGAGCATGAAAATTTAAACGCTCTTTCATCTCGCTGTGAAACAACTCTCTCTCTCTCTCTCGCTGTACAACCCGGTAATCCGGTGTTCCTTGGACGAGCTCGATAATAGTCCTCGGTCTCTGGAATTCCTCCTCCTCCTTCCTACTCTTCGCTCGAATGCCTTCATTTTCCCCGGGAAAAGCGTGGAAAAGTTACGGTGGCTGCGGAGGAGAGAGAGAAGGCGCGCGTCATAATCGAGCGTCAAATTCGTTGAATAAATCCGCGGCTGCGCGTAAATATTTCACGGCGGAATTCCGCTGGAAAAGTGGCGGATGGTCGCGCCCTTGGCAGTGGATAGTCCATGGAAACGGCGGCAGATGGAGGCACGCCGCGGCTGTGCTTAAAGCCGGAGCGGAGGCCACATGGATCGACTTTCTGCCCCCTATCTTCGCGATTTCTTCTCGATGACGTAAACCTTGCTCGAACCAACAAGCGAGAACATTTTCGGACGGTAATCGTTATCTTTCGCTGGCGAGAATAGTGTTTAGTAATTGCCACTTCGAAGCCGTTCTTCCTACTCACCGCGGAATGTTAACGTTTCCTCCGCTGCTCGAGTGAATAGGAAAACGTGTTACGTAGTATCGTGACTCGGACGACTTGATTTCAAACAGAAGGGTGGCTCCTTATTGTTAAACTATAACGAGAAGGACGGCTCCACGTCACTGAGAACACCGCGGAAAGTACACCCTCGACACCTGCTCCCTCGTCCTCTCGCCAACGAGATACCTGACTGGCGCGGGCGGGGCAGAGACTCTCGAAGTCGTTTCCTCTGGCGGAGGGTCTCGGTTTAATAAAGCACCGGCGAGATACGCGAAACACGCGCGTGCAAAAGTTCTCCCCACGGGGTGGAGGGTGTAACGGCGTTGCCTCGATCCGCGAAAAGCGCGAGGGAGGAAGGAAGGAAGAAAATTACGAGGGCTCCCTTTCATTCTGCGACACGGAGAAAAGGGGCCGAAGTAAACGATCTGGCAAAGGGGCGGTATATATACCCCCGCGAAATTATACCGATAGATCCGCGTCAAATCGAAATACGAGCGGGTTTGCAGCGCGCAATATCGGTAATGGGGGCAACGGTTTAACGACGGAGTTTCTCGAAAGTGGCCCCGACGTGCACCGTGTATTCCCTGGTCGCTCGCTAAACTCGGATATTGGAAAATTGAGTTAACTTATGTCAGAATGGAACCGTTTCCCCGGGTTACCCGGGGAAACGACCGCGATTTTCGCTCGTTCACTCTCCCCTAAATTCGTTTCCAGGATTCAACGCGGCGTTGGTCCGTTGGCGGGAACAGCGTCGCGGAAGCCCCGAACCTGCTCCGAGTGAACGAGAAAACGAAGCGCGGGAGTAAGGGAGGGCAAAATAGCCCTCGTGAAATTTCGCCCGCTTTATAGAACCGTTGACCGGAGGAGGGTGCGAACTTTGTTTCTATGGCTCGCGGCTCTTGGAGAGGGAGCGAGAGAGAGTATCGCGATAGTTTCGAGAGGCCTGGGGGTTCTCCTGATCGCGCGCGGCACAGGCGTCCGGCAATTGTGACACTCGTGACGAGAGTATCGATGCCGCCCGAGGGGGACGATCCTGCGAGATTGCTGCCCGCGCTCGTTCGTTCGTTCTGTCGTGCCTCTGTCTCCGGCTTGTGTCTACAAACGCTCCGCCGCTCTGTGTCCCTCTCCCCGGAATCGACGGCGACTCGTCAAACTACAAATATTTAGAGAGCACTTGGACCTCGACGCCGCTCCACTGCCGCCTGATGCGCTTCATAAATTTATCCTTGCACTCGAATCCGATCACACGTGAACGCAGAAACACTTCCACCGTCTCGGTTACGGGAAGAAGTGCGTTCTGTCCTACGCCGCCGGCCTAGAAGACCCAGGTTAGAAATTGTGCGATACGAATGAGAAAAAAGTGTTGTATAAACATGGGTCGTTTGACGCTTCGTTTAAAAGTTGTAGCAAAAATAGTAGGACCTTGCGAGAAAAAATTGGGACACCATTTATATGGTAATAGGAGTACCGGCGAGAAAGCTTAACGTCAGTCCGTCCCTCGCCTCTGGTAGCCGAGTGATAAATCTCGCATGATTAAGACAAGTCTGGGTATACAGCGACGTGGAAAAAGTGACGTCTCGACGGAACGCGAAGGAACCTTCTCCTATAAAGATTGGAAACGAACGAGCAAATCGGCGGGATTAAAACGCGCGGCGATCGTGACAAGCGCCGTTTCTATCAGCCTTATTTACGACACGCGTCGCCTTGGTGGTTTCGCGTGCGGATCGTTACGCGGGAAAATTACAGCGCGTAGGCGGCCCGCGTATTTCCCGATGCCCGTAGATTTACGGATCGTTAAGCCGTACGAATTTACACGTTTCTTTAACGCCGAGCCGCTATTTGCGGCCCCGGAGAGTTCAGCCTTTATTCTTCGTCGCTCGCCTACGCTCGCGCGTTCTTCGCCTGCGAACATCC